CACCTCCTGGTACACGAATGAGCTGTGGGCACTGCCTGCAGCACCTGGCAGCACCCTGGTTGTAGGCTACAGCTTGGTGCTGAGCTACTTGGGAAGCTGTCTGGAGATCTTGGGGGGGCTGGCCCTCACCCTCAGCTTCCACCACTGCTGCAAGGAGCGCAGGGCTCCCAAACTGCCTCCCAGCACTGCGCCGGAGGCTTGGCCGTGCTCCACCACTGGGGCTTACAACAATCCATGGGACGTGCTGGGGGACGAAAGAGATGGACAGCACTGGAGGAGCTCCCCACCTTGTGACTCTGACTTGTAGCCCCAGACTGGGACAGCAGTGGGCACCAGCCTGCCTGGCAGAAAGCAGTGCTGCCACCTGCCCCTACAAGCCATGCCGTGCTCCTGGGGCACATCAGAGCAGGCTGAAAACAAGACCAAGGATTGAATATGTACAACTTCCTCAAAAGCCTGCTATGCTCCAGGTCCTACAACTGTGCCAAAGCCATGCTGGGTTAAGGACCAGATATGTCTCCAGTCCCTCCATGCAGCTCATTCTCCTGCACCATGCACAGCAGCTTGGGCAAAGGCAGCTTTGGTGTTCCCATATGAGCAACATACAGGTTCGCACTGTGTAGCCTTCAGGGCTGGGAACAGGGGAGGTGAGCACTTCTTGTATGTCTCAGCTCAACTTGGGACTGTGCGAACTGTAAAATAAATACAATGTAATGGGTCTGTGCTGTGGGTTGGTTATGGGCTTTCTGCCAGGTAGGCTGGGCTGAGACAGTGGGCATGGCTAACCCAGCTTCCCTGTGCTTTGTCTTTGACACAAGGAGGAAAGGTCTGTAAAAGGGGACAGGCAGCTTTTATAGCACCTTCCTAAAGGACTTTTCCCACATGGTCAAAATCAGCTCTGGAAGAGGTTTCTCCTTCCTCAAGCACAGCCCACTTCACAGTGGGGGGGAGCGGGGGAAAAGATCACGGAAAAAAAATAGCATATATTTCCCTTTTCAACATTACCTTCTTGTGAGGTGGTAAAACTGGTCTCACTGGTTTGTAAGGGACACTCGGGAGGTCGAAACTGCACTATAAAATCCTGCTCAACACCCTGCATAACAAGGTAAGAGCCAAGCCAGCTTCCTCGCAGAACTGTTTGGCCAGATTTCTACCCCAGGCAAGCCCAAAGCACCCTGGTCAGAAAGCTAAGTCTTGCTGCAGAGGGACAGTGGCTCAAGATACCCTACCCTATGTGTGGTTAAGGGATAGCACAGGATGCACCCTGCAGCACAGAATCAGATTTAGGTGGCTCAGAGAGAGAGCGTGTTGGGATTGATACTTCTTGATAAACCTCCCAAACTGTTTTCCTCTGGACTCAGATGTTCCCTAGAGCTTAGACATCTGGAAAGAGCAAACCAACTTCCCCTCCCCAGCCCACGCACAAACCACAAAGGCACCAGAGATGCTGCTTTAACGTTCCTTTATGAAAATACAGTGTTGAGGTGAGATGATCCCTTCCTCAGCACGGCTGGCAACTCCTGCAGAGATCACAGATGGGTGCATCAGGGGTGAGTCTGAGCCAGCCTCTCTGAGCCCACCCCACAACTTAGCACACAGGGGCTCCAGCCACAGGCAGGACAGTCCTGTCAGACTCCAGGCACCACAGGTTTTGCTCCTCTCCTCTATCAGGAGGGCAGAGCTTGCCTCAAGAACGGACACCATGCCAGCACTGGGCCTTCGGGCACCCAGAGTGGTAGAGGGGTCCCTACCAGGGTCTGCTCCAGATGCTACACACCTTTTTCCCATCGTAAGCTTCATTCACAAACGTATCACTCTTGGGGGGAAGCTCATCATCCTCCTCATCCTCTTCCTCTGGGTCACTTTCACGGTGGTACAAGGTCAGTGCCCGGGTAGAGGCAGTGCTTGAGGTCCTGGGGAGGTAAAATCATATACTGAAAATGGCATAGCCCTCTCCTGGAGATGGGGCAGATCCCAAGGTCCTGCCACAATTCCTGGTAATAGCCAGCTGATGTGATCCGAGCTTTCCATATAGCCCAGGAGTGCATCAGGGCACCACACTGTCCCTGGGCAAAGAGACAGGGTCTCTTTGCCTGTCCCTCTGTATTCCCGGTTATACCCGGCCCAGCCCAACCCCAGAGCCCGCCCCCCCCCGCCTTTCCCGCCTCCGCATGTATGCCAGGGCCCCCACAGCAGCAGCAGTGAGCAGCAGGAGCACAGCCACCCCCAGGGTGATAGGTCCTGCAAGGGGCTGCACCTCTGCCTCCTCGCAGTAGTCGCCGTGATAGCCCAGTGCACAGTGGCACGTCACTCGCCCAGCCTCAATGGCACACTCCCCACGCAGGTTGCATGTCTCACTGCTGCACGGCACAGCCCCTAGCACCTCCTCGGTGCTGGGAGCTACCAGGAAGGGCTCTCCATGCTCACGGGGGCTAGGGACTGCAGGCAGGCTGGGGCTGGGCTGCTGAGGCTGGGGTGCAGCTATGGATGACGCTGGTTTCTGTGCTTCCACATGGGATATTCCTGATGGTGCTGCTGTGGGGACCTGTGTCCCCACCTCCACAGAGGGGCCTGGAAGCATTGGCAGAGATCAGCAGAGGCCCAAGTAAGACACTCTTCCCAAACTGGGGGAGATTGGGTAGGCCCTGCATGCCCTAACTGTGGGCAGGCACTCACAGTCAGACTCATCGGAGCCGTCAGCACAGTCCGGGTGACCATCGCAGACCTGCTCTCCCGAGATGCAGCTCTGGAGGTCAGGGCAGGCCTGGAGTGGGGCTGGGCAGGACAGTGTGGGTGTGCATGCTGCCCCACGCACCAGGTGATAGCCAGCAGAACAGCGGCACTGCTGCCCTGCAGGGTTGGGCAGGCAGAGCTGGGCACAGCCCCCATTGCCCTTTGCACAGCTGTTGGTGCCTGCCAAAACAGCACGAGTTAGTACAGTCGCCACGGGGCACAGGTAAATCCCACAGATTCCCCAGGCTGGGGCTGTCCGAGACCCACCTTCCTGTGAGAACTGGCTGTAAATCCTCATGGCTACCAGTTCCTGCTCCATGGGGAACCACCAGCTCTTAGCCCGCTCCAGGTGACTATGCCAGATCTTGCTGGAGCCTGGAGACACATGGGGTCAGCACTGTTCCACCTCCTCCCACACGGTGTCTGGGATGGGAGGCGGGGGGTCCCCTAGCCTACTCTTCACCCCATTGAGGGGCAAGCCTGCAACCCACAGGGACTGGCAGACACCCGTGTCCTAGTGCAGTAGCAGGAGCTGGACAAAGCACAGCAAACTGACCCACCATTGGCTGAGGTAGTGCTCCAGAGCAGAAAGCCTTCTCCTATGGCAAAGAGTGAGAGACCATGCAGCCCTTCCCGCACCACACGGAAGTGGGATCCGTCCAGCTCAATGCTGCTGATGGTACCTCTTTCTGCAGGGCACAGGTGGAGAGACGTCAGTATGGAGACACAGAAGGCTCCGGGCTGCCCCTCAGGGCTGTGCCTTGCAGGCTAAGCACCTGCATCACTGCTACCCCCAGC